AAAAAATTAGAATTTGAAATTGAAAAAAAAAATGCCAAAAAAATTAATTAATCTCACTTCATTTTCTTTTATTTTTTATAAATTAATAACAATATCTTCCATATCAATGTAAAACTTTTTTTTTTAAATGTATTTAAAACAAAAAATTGGAATTTGAAATTGGAAAAAAATGCCAAAAAATCAATTAATCTCACTTCATTTTCTTTTATTTTTTATAAATTAATAACAATATCTTCCATATGAATGCAAAACACTTTTATCTAATTTTTTTTTTTTAAATGAAATATTGTTTTAAAAACATATCATCTATTTTAATTATGCAAAAATATTGTCGATACTTTTAAATGTTAGCCTATTTTTTATTTAATTAATTAATATGAATTTTAAATTAGTCAATAAAATAAATATAATTACTTTTATTCGGCATTGGTATAAGCATTGTACATGCAAAAGTTTCATCAGAATCATTCGTTAGATATGTTCGCATTACTAACAGAATAATAATTGGTGATGAACCTGATAGATATATTGTAAAAGAATCATTATTAATCGAGCTATTATAAGCATAAATTATCGATCCACGATCAAACTAAAAAAAAGAAAAAAACAGAAAAAATTTGAAAAAAAAATGAAGAATAATGTGTAAAATATATGATAATATATTAATGGTGATATGATAATTAATCATAATTTGCTAATTACATCGTAATTTACTACGATTAGAAATACTTTTCTTTTTTTTAAACATGAAAATCATAATTTGATTTAAGAATTGATTTCTATAAAATACTTGATTAATTTTAAAACATGCAAATCATAATTTGATTTAAGAATTGATTTCTATAAAAATACTCGATCAATCTTTATGGAATTTTTGTGAAGACTAAAAAAAAAAAAAAAAGAAGGATAGAAATGAAAAATTATAAAAAGTTTTGCTTATTACTCGTGCAATCCTATTAATTCGTCCTGAATATTTTTCTGTTATAGTTGTAATATTTATATATGAATCGGTATATATTGGCATTAAATATGCTGTTAATATACCACTGAATATAGATGTTGGAGCAATTGAAAATGAATAATAATTTTTAGCCATTGTTATTGGTATAACTGAAAAAATGAAATGAAAAATGATTTAATAATTTAATAGAATGACAATATTATAATAAAAATTTTACAAATTCTTTTCCTTCTCTTGTTTTTTTTTTCTCTCTTAAAACATAAGAAACTAAATCGAAATGATATATATATATATATATATT